GCTCCCGGGTCCTCCCTCTCCCTCCCCTGCCGGCTGTCAGCACAGTGCCTGCTGACCGGGGAGGGAGATTTCTGATCTCCCCCCCGGTCCGCAGGCACATTGCAGGGCTAGCACCTGCATGTGCTGACAGGGGAGAGGGGCAATTGCCCCGTTGCCCCCCCCCCGGATCCGCCACTGGGCTGTCATACAGACCTAATAATATTCTGCATGGGAATCAAATATTAAATGTGTGTGTATATAGATATTTCATATATATATATATATATATATATATATATATATATATATATATAGATAGAGAGAGAGAGAGAGAGAGAGAGAGAGTGAGTGAGTTTTTTCTTCTTTAAACACACCTACAGGTGATACTCGAAAAATTTGAATATCGTGCAAAAGTTCATTTATTTCAGTAATGTAATGTAAAAGGGGAAACTAATATATGAGATAGACGCATTACATGCAAAGCAAGATAGTTCAAGCTGTGATTTGTCAAAAGTGCGATGATTATGGCTTACAGTTTATGAAAACCCCAAATCCACAATCTCAGTAAATTAGAATATTGTGAAAAGGTGCAATATTCTAGGCTCACAGTGTCCCACTCTAATTAGCTAAGTAAGCCATAACACCTGCAAAGGGTTTCTAAGCCTTTAAATTGTCTCTGTCGGGTTCAGTAGGAGTCACAATCATGGGGAAGACTGCTAACCTGACAGTTGTGCAGAAAACCATCATTGACACCCTCCATAAGGAGGGAAAGCCTCAAAAGGTAATTGCGAAGGAAGTTGGATGTTCCCAAAGTGCTGTATCAAAGCACATTAATAGAAAGTTATGTGGATGGGAAAAGCGTGGAAGAAAAAGGTGCACAAGCAGCAGGGATGACCGCAGCCTGGAGAGGATTGTCAGGAAAAGGCCATTCAAATGTGTTGGGGACTTTCACAAGGAGTGGACTGAGGCTGGAGTTAGTGCATCAAAAGCCACCACACACAGACGGATCCTGGACATGGGCTTCAGATGTCGTATTCCTTTTGTCAAGCCGCTCCTGAACAACAAACGTCAGAAGCGTCTTACCTGGGCTAAAGAAAAACAGACCTGGTCTGTTGCTTAGTGGTCCAAAGTCCTCTTTTCTGATGAGAGCAACTTTTGCATCTCATTTGGAAACCAAGCACCCAGAGTTTGGAGGAAGAATGGGGAGGCACACACTGCAAGATGCTTGAATTCCAGTGTGAAGTTTCCACAGTCTGTGTTGATTTGGGAAGCCATGTCATCTGCTGGTGTTGGTCCACTGTTCTTCATTAAGTCAAGGGTCAATGCAGCCATCTACCAGGAAATTTTGGAGCACTTCATGCTTCCTTCTGCAGACGAGCTTTATGGTGATGCTGACTTAATTTTCCAGCAGGAAAAAGCACCAAAGCCTGGTTCAATGACCGTGGGATTACTGTGCTTGATTGGCCAGCAAACTTGCCTAACCTGAACCCCATAGAGAATCAATGGGGCGTTGCCAATAGAAAGATGAGACATGAGACTGAACAATGCAGAAGAGCTGAAGCTATTGAAGCATCCTGGTCTTCCACAACACCTCAGCAGTGCCACAAGCTGATAGCTTCCATGCCACGCCGTATTGAGCTGATAGCTTCCATGCCACGCCGTATAAGACCTTATACTTTTCAGAGGTCTGATATTGTTTTATGTACACATCTTGTTTTATTGATTGCATGTAATGTTATAATTTACTGAAATTGTGGATTTGGGGTTTTCATGAGCTATAAGCCATAATCATCGCACTTATGACAAATCACGGCTTGAACTAATCTTGCTTTGCATGTAATGTGTCTATCTCATATTAGTTTCCTCTTTTATGTTGCATTACTGAAAAAAATGAACTTTTGCATGATATTCTAATTTTTCGAGTATCACCTGTACATACATATCTGTGGATACATACATGCAGAAAATATGCCAGTGCATCAGCCGAAACATACTCCTAACAAATGCATGAATATGGAAATGAAACATAAGCAATTGTGGAAATTTATCAAGCATTATAACATGTATTTGACTATAGTAGGGTGTGTCTAAGTGTGTGTATTCAATTGTACCTCTTTGTGCTCGGGTGTCTAAGTATGTGTGCTAATCAAAACTGGATTACTTATTAGGTGGCCAAGCCCCCACTAGGGCCCATGTTTAGACTGGAATCAATAAACCCCTGTCTGGGCCTGGAGACCACATTTTAAAATCTCCCTTGTAGTCCCAGGGTGCTTCTCAATGACTCAGAGCACAACAGCCAATGCTCTGTGTCCTCAACTCAGCAACTGAACCACAAGGAAGCTCTTAAAGTAGTCTGCACCCAATATTGGTGCATAACACAATACACCAGTAGACCTCAAGATATCCAACTCAACCTCCAATAAAACACTGGGAATAATACCCTCCTCCTGCCAAAATGTATGAAGGAGGGGAAAAATTAAAACCTTACACACACACAAAATCCAGCTACTACAACGCTCTCATCTACTACTACTAAAAAAACACACATACACACTAATACACACACACACTAACACACACACACACACACACACACACACACACACACACACACAAACAAACAAAAAAAAAAAAAAAATCCAAAGGCACTAGGAGAGCACCCTGCCTAGGACCCTTCTTAATCCAGTTCTGGTGCTAGTGAATATCTATGTGCTGGATGTGTCTGTGTGCACATCGTCTGCCAGTATATGTGTTCTAGTGTGTGACTATGTTGTTTATTAGGTTGATGTGGGTTTAGGAGGTGCATGGATAATACTGTATGCCGGATTTAAATATTTGTTAAATGCTAGTCATGCATACATACCTAATAATGTATTAATCTGTGTAGATGGGAGGTAACATACAGGGCCGTTGCAAGTATTTTACATAGACGAAGATGCATTTCCCCCCCCAAAAAAACAAACAAAACCTCTTCACCTGTGTGCCTCTTAACCTCCCTTTTGTGTTTCTTATCCCCTCTTTTAAATGCCTTACTCCCTTTAGTGTATCATATCTTCTATTTGATTTACACCTCCCTTGTGTCAGGGTACCTGTTGGTGCTGACTCCAGGGAAGACATCCTCTCTGTTTAGGGGCTCCTTGCCCCTAGCATTTCGGCAAATTCCGGCCGTTTTCGCGCCGGCCGCGCTAGCTCCTCCCCCTTTTATGACGCGACGGCTAGCGTCGACGTCATGACGTCAGCATTACGTGAAGTGCCGGGAACCGCTATTCCGGACCTTTTGGGGGCGTGGTCTCAATTAAGGTGACAGGGTATTTAAAGGAAACCTTTACTACTGCTCATTGCCCTGTCGTGGTTCTAGCTTGCTAGTCACTCAGCGCGTTCTCTCTCTTAGTGTTTTCGGTTTTGACCTGGCTTGTCTTTTGTCCTGTTGTCCTCTCCTCTCCTTTGACTCGGCTTGTATCTCGCTTACCTGTCCTCCGGCTCCCTCGACCTCGGCTTACCTTTTGACTATTCTTGTTTTGTCCATACGTTAGTCCGGCCATTCTAAGGTCCGGTATACGTACCTCCTTCTGTCCGCACTCTGCGTATTGGATCCCTGTCAGTATCCTGACACCTTGTGTGTCTCTTACAACCCCACCTGTGTCCCCTGTATGACTCTTACATCCTCCCACATTTTGTGTTTGACTCCTTCTCTCCCAGCCCCTTTGTGTGTCACTTTCCCCCCTGCCCATATGTTTCCCCCCCCACCCCTCTGTGTGTCTCTTTTTCCCCTTCAGCCCCACTGTGTGTTTCTTTCACTACCAGCCCCTCTCCCCTCCCCATCCCTTAGAGGTCCCCTCCTTTCCCTGTCCCTTAGTGTTTCTCTCACCTTACCTCCCTGTCCCTTGGTGCACCCTCCACCCCCTTAGTTGTCACCTCTCTTTCCTTGTGTGCCTTATACCTCACTTGTAGCGTGGCTGAGCGGAGCGGATCCCGGTACAGGAGCTTCAGTTTCCTGTCCCCGGCTGGGCTGACAGGAAGTGCACTCTACTTTAGATATATGTGCCTAGCCTGAAGACACTAAAACAATAGTTAGTGCTGTATTATCACAATGCCACATGTCAGTTTTACTGTTTTTGATGTTAAGCCTTCCGTGACATTACAGGCCCGTCTGTGATCCTCTATGTGCACTACAAAAATAAATAAAATCTGGCTCCAACCCCTCATGCTGTTACCCAGTGACAGCCCTACAAAACAAAACAATATGGAGTCTTATCTGTACAGGTTCTGATGAAACAATGCAGTCAATTAATTAAATAAATAAGAAACCATGCTACAGGAAACTAAGCATGTCTGATGGTGTATACTCAAAATAATTGTGATTTTTTTTTTTTTTCTCTTTCAACATTTCCCAAAGCCTTGACCTGATTAGTTGATAGGAATCTGTGCAGTTTCTCCAGTCATCATGAGTGAGGAAGAAATAAACTTAAAAACTAAAATCATGAGAGAAAATGCTGATTTTCTTACTGTCACACACCTATTACTTATTCCACACCTTTTATTGATCCCCTGTTGATCAGCCTCCACTGTGTTCCATTTCTTGTTTTCCATTTTTTTTTAATTTTTTTAAAAGCCTTCTTTCACTATAGAAGCTGATTGTGTCACACTGTACTACGGGACTGTAGTCATACTAGCCAAGGATCCTATTTTGGTGCTTCATCATTATTAATTAACCATACAAAGTTTGCAGGCGGAATGCTTATTTAAAACCACATAATTATCTTTAAATCTAAAACACTAACTGATTAAATGCCACCTGAACCTTCAGAAAACATTTACCGAGGGCGTACTCTGGCAGGAAGGCACCGTGTTCTCCAGAGAATACTGCTCACATCTAACCGAACAGAAGGCGTTCGAACGCTGTTACATTGTAGCTAGAGGGATGAGGTAGAGGGGCGTGGTTTTCGGCGGCCAATCGCGTGCTTAGAGCCTGGCCATGTATATATAAGCCGGAGCCCCGCTCTGAGAGACTTGTTCACACCATGGATGATGGAGCGTTTGAAGACCATGCCTTGCGAGAGGCTCAGCGGGAGTATTTGGATTTCCTGGATGATGATGTGCGCTGCCATTTGTATTTACCATTAAAACTGAGTGTTCATTGTGGCCCATTGTTCATAGTGTGTTTAATTCAGGAGATGTCCCTCAATATCACCAACGTATAAGAAATATTCAAGAATATAGCAGTAATATCTGACCAAATGCAAAACAACCTTCGAGAATACAATGTTAAATATCACTGGTTTAAATGGAGTTTCAAAGCTGATTCCTGCCCTAGACCCAGTTATTAATTAACATCCCTTTTCTAGAGTATATATTTTGGTGTCATCTCAAAATACGCTAATCTTTTTATGAAATTCCAGAGAAACGTTTAGTAGATCTATTGTTTGCTTTTCCTGATGCCTGATGTACTATATTATCTCTCAGCAAGATCAAGGTGTATATCATGGGAAAGTAAAGGACATGATTGGGGCCAATGAGCACCGGCTAATTATCAACCTGAATGATCTGAGGAAGAAGAATGAGAGGAGAGCCAGCACGTGAGTTACACACAGGGGTATATGTAGCATTGGGGGTCACTGATATGGACACTACAGTATTCTAGTCCACATCAGCATAGTGGACAAACCATCTAACCATGGTTGCAGGAGAGGCTTTAGACTACAGCAAGGTCTTCTCCCAATCTATGTCAGCAATTAAGCCATTCAGTAAAAAAAAGTCTTGTATTTGGTTACAAGTTCCTGACCGCCTACTTTTATAAATGTATTGTTAGAACAAGAAAATCTGTGGTTTTATTCAGCACAGGTGTCTGATATAAATGAGAAGACTTGTCAAAGGGATATAAAACACTCTGCAACTTGTGAAATATTCTTAATTATAACTTCTAAATAATAGAATGTTATTTGATTGAAAGTAATGCACTATTAAATAAATTTAATTATTAAAACCTGCACACCCCATTTTGCAGGGTTAAGGGTAGTGGGAGTTGGCACCCAGACCACTCCAATGGGCAGAAGTTGTCTGGGTGCCTGGAGTGTCCCTTTAATGGTAATAAGAAGGCACAGGTATAGAGATTAGCAATCTGGCTCTTAACAATAGTGAGTTTTATTTATATATATATATATTTCACAGTCAATCAAATAAATAGCTCTAAGGTTAGGGGGGGGGAATTAGATCACTTTTAATAAGATAAGATGAAGGGTGTCCAGGAGCTAAATTAATATACTCTAGTGGTATAGTATACCAAAATTGTTGTACCTATATGCTCACAATGAGATTAAATATCAAGTCCTGAGTGAGTTTGTGTTAAATCTCAATATGAAGAAATAGTCACCAAGAATGTAACAAAAGAGTAATCCCACTAGACTGTGTATATGTGTTATGCACAGTTGTGGAGCCCTATTGCAAAAGCAATATAATTCACTGAGGGTCAGTAAATATATTAAAAAAAAAAAAAAAAAATGAAGAACGCACTGGTAGCACAAAGCAGTACAGTGTCCATGATCACTGCTTGCTACTAGGCAAAATATAAAATAGAATACAAAGGAGAGAGAGAGAGAGAGAAGAGAAAATTGCTTCTTTAAAAATCCATTAGTCTTTAATCAAGTAGAATAAATTCAAACATGTTGAATGGTAAAATCAAATAGAATAAAATTGACACCAACAGTAGCTCAATGTGGCATGTACAGATGCCGCATCAATAACTCTCCTGGTGGATGTAATTAGTGGGAGCTGCATTCTTCGCTGTGTGGTATCAGCCGGTCAGGTTGGAGTGTGTTTCAACCAGCGTTCCACCCGAAGCCTCACTCCCAATTGGAAATTCCACCAATATCAGAGAGAGCTGATCATAAGTAGTTGTCAGTGCGAGGACCTAGATTGTAGAGCATTGCTGTGGTAATGTCCAGCAATAAAGTGGTGATTGCAGATTCTCAATAGAGTTTAGTATGTGTCCATAGCCTACCCCTCTAGCTGCGTGGTTGGAATGCTTTGTGCGACTTGAAACCTGTGTGGAGAAATATTTACCCATTCGGTACCAGTGAACTCTATGGCGCCAAGCCTCTGCAGACACACAGCCCATGCAAATGGCGCTTCATTAAATAGAATTATAATTCATGATATCACCCCAGTGCTTATAGGGACTACTTCATCTAGGTGACATTATGCTGTTTGGAGTTGCAGCGATGACATGGACCAATCAGAATGCATGTGAACCTATTTTAAGCCAGTTACTTGTTGCCATATTGTGTTTATTTTTATTTGTTTTGGTTACACGTTTAGTATATCTAGTGACTCTCTTCTATTCCTGTTATTAACCTTGGCTCCATTTTGACTTTTGAGAATTTCTGGTATCCTGACCTGGCTTGTATATTGACATGTGGATTTCTATATTTCTGACCCGTCTTGTTTATCCATATTTCTGTATTCCTGACCTCTTCTTGTCCTGACTTTGATTCTTCTTTTTACTATATTAAGACTGACCATTCTAAGGCGAAAAAGACAAACATTTACTCCATAATCATAACAATGTATTCTAGTGTAGGTCATGGTATATTGTTCCTTTTTGTTCCTGCATGGATTGGCTTGTAGCTGCATAGAAGGCTTTACCTCTGCCATAAAAGCACTGTGTTTACTGCATAGGTTTAAAAATTCCAGTGAAGTCTATCACCTCCTGTCATCTCCCCAATCTCTCCCTCTGACAAGTCTTACCCAGTATTTACTGTTTAGGGGCAAAGCTCCTATTCTTCTATTCGGAGTACCTTGTGTAATTGCTCACTTAATATATTCAGTCTGTATTCATCATAAACCGTTCGCATTTGGGGTGCATTCTACATACAAGCAGATGGCAGATCTCTCTCCCTTTTCATATAGGATGCTATGAATTGACCAATGTGCATACAAAGTATAGGTGTGGATGGGGCAATAATTTCCCCTTGTGATGTTTTTGAATGGGGAGGTGGTCTTTTAGCTATTTAATGTGTGTGCGTGGTGTCTGGTGTCTTTAAAAAAAAAAAAAATTCCCCTGCAGATTAAGTTAAAAAAAAATTTTATTTTATTTTTTAATGCTACTAGTATTGGCATGTATCTTCGAGTATCCTTTTAGCTGTCTTTGTAGTCCTATCCTAATTTGTATCAGTTCTCTAATTTCAGATTGCTCCAGAATGCATTTGGAGATGCAATAGCTTTCCAGAGAGCCTTGAAGGAATTGGTAGCCTCAATTGACTCAACATATGCCAAGCAATTTGAGGAGTTCAACGTTGGGTTTGAAGGAAGCTTTGGTGCAAAGCATGTATCTCCCCGTACCCTCACGTCTGTTTACTTGGGCAGCTTGGTCTGTGTGGAAGGAATAGTAACAAAGTGTATGTTATTTTTATATTCCTCTGTGTCCTATGGATAATTTGTCATAACCTTTTATAACCCAGCACTGTAAATACATATTTTCTAGCCTTATGATTATAGGGACGATGACATCCAATCTGTGAAGTACATTTATATATATATATATATATATATATATATATATATCTCATCAATGTGAAATGTATTTATTTTTAAAATTCTTTATTTGTAATGTGATAGTGTGAATAATGTGGAATAATAAGCATGGTGGTGGTAGGTGGCAGAATAGCCACTTTAACTGTAACATCCGTGGTAACTACAATAATGTCCCTGGAATAATCTTCAGGGGTGGTCGGGGACTTGTGGGTCTGGAATTCAGCGATGATGGGTAATACTCCATCGCCCTCCATCCCCATCTCTGCCGCCACTTTGTTGGTAAAATCTAGCAGGTGTGCACATGACTCCTTTGGTGCCATGTCTCCAGGGTTGTCACAGTGTGTGTGTATGGAGTTGCCGAGACAAAGTCTCCCCTTGGGATCGAGTCTCTTAGAACCCCACCTCCTGGGTCTCCACTGCACTGATGTGTGAGGTGAGGCTTTAAATCTCTGTGCACACTCCATCCAGATCAGACTTCTAGTCCTCCCAGAGGTCAAGCAGCAGGTTTTTTTTTTTTTTTTTAAATATCAACCTCATTGGATGGTGAGGCTTTAGAGTTCGCAGGAGCCAACACATCTGATTAGATGCTTAGCTAGGCATGCCCCCTGTGAAATTGTTTTCATCCCAGAAAGGTGGAGACACAAATGCTTTTCCTCCTCCAATACAATGTGTGCCCTGGACTGTGTAAACATAACAAAAGTTAAAGCACCACTATAGTGCCAGGAAAACAAACTTTTTCCTGGCATTATAGGGTCATTAGGTCCCCCCACCCTTAGGGCCTCCCTCCCGCTGGGCTGAAGGGGTTAAAACCCCTTCAGCCACTTACCTTTCTCCAGTGCCGGGCTCCCTCGGCGCTGGGGAACTCTTATCCCTCTACCGACGTCAAATCCGAATGCGCGGCAAGAGCCACGCGTGCATTCAAACTGCCCATAGGAAAGGATTACTCAATGCTTTCCTATGGACGTCCAGCGTCTTCTCACTGTAAATTTTTTTTCACAGTGAGAAGGGCGGAAGCGCCTCTAGCGGCTGTCAGTGAGACAGCCACTAGAAGCTGGATTAACCCTCAGTGAAACATAGCAGTTTCTCTGAAACTGCTATGTTTTCAGCTGCAGGGTTAAAACTAGAGGGACCTGGCACCCAGACCACTTCGTTGAACTGAAGTGGTCTGGGTGCCTCTATAGTGGTCCAAATTAGATTTTCACTGTGTTATTCAATGATTCAACTTCCAATCTTATTTTAACAGTTTAGTTTGAATTAATATAATATTTGAATCTGAATACTTTGGGGGTTGGGGATATATATACTAAATTGCTGTTAAGAATTTGTTCTCTGATAGTTCATTATGGTCTAGTTCAAAAACCATGAAACCTTTCTCTGCAGGAACTTTCAGTCTCTGCCACAGGGGTGCAAAGATGGAAGAGAAAATATGTATGTATATATGGTATAAGCCTTGATTGTATCTGAAAATCTATATCTAATGGGATATAGTATCTTATTTCCTTTTTATTCTTAACATGGATGGTTTGGCAGACGGGCAGGTTAACACTGTCCATCTTTTGTCTTGTATAATTAACATAACTAGAAAAGCTACAATTTCTGGAGAAATTGTGGGAAGTGTTCTTGCCTCCACCAGTAGTCTACAACTGAAGTGGGCGGAGTAACTGTTATTTATTTATATAGCACATTTAATTGCAACGTTGCCCAAAGTGCTTCACAGTTACATTAAAACACACATTTATAAAAACATTAGCAGGTGTACAAAAGGCCCTGCCTATGACATCACTTGCTGCTCCAGCCTGGCACAGGTCAGAGTATTTTGGCGGTTGCCATCTGCAAACGGTCGTATTTTAAAAAAATATAAATTCTACAGTGAAGAGCTTTATATTGTGAGAATCACAAGACCCAGACCTACATTTTGATGCATAGTATGTCTCTGGAGTATTAAAAATGAAGGCACAGTAGCCGTTTAGAAATAGCCCTTCAAATTTGAGCTGTCTAGAGTGGAGTTTCAATGAATGTTAATGGACGGCGTGAGTTGCAAACAAATGGTCATTTCGTGAAAATTATCAGGACTATGGCTTAGCCTTTTTAGTGGCAGCAGGGATAGCTGAACGTTTTGATATAAGATTTGTGTAGGTGGGCTTGAAAATGAGGGAGTGGTGGCAGTTTGGAAATCATGTCCTGATTTTTCAGCTTTTGCCAGCTCCCACTCTAGCTTTGAACATTTTGCCATTTGTTCCTATGGCACCAATTTCGCCACAAGAATGACGATATTCCATGAACCATTCGGCGAAACGTTCCACAAAGTAATAGCAATCCAATCGGGAACAATCCACATGTTTCGTTATATTACTGTCTATGTAGTGTAAAAACTGTGGGAGGAGTTAGGGTGGTAAATTTGGCAAGAATAATATATAATGTGAGATAACATTAAGTGGTCTTGCTATGCAAGAACACAACTAGAAAAGCTAGTTTTTACATTAATGTTTTGATGTAACTGTGAAGTACTTTGGGCAACAACGTTGCAATTAAATGTGCTATATAAATAAATGTTGAAATGCATTTCTCACTCTTTCAAGCTTGCCATGTGCACTTTTTAAATTTGATCAATCAATTGGTTAGTGTAATGTTTACTATCTTTACTCACTCCAAACACTCCACAAAGTTACTCTGCCCAGTTCAACCTTTCCACACCATTACTCCAGCCACTCCAACCACACAAGTTACTCAGGCCACTCCACCCAGTTTCTCCGCCCACTCCAGTTGTAGATAAGGATCAACCGATCTTGATTTATTTTTTTTAGCGCCGATAGTGATAATCTGTGAACTTTCAGGCCGATAGCCGATAACTTGCTGATATTCTGTACATTTACCATTTTGAAAAAATAAACTATTTCTAAAGGTAAACAAAATATACATGCCATGTGTAGTGGATGCAGTGTGTTTAGACAGGGGAGCTGTGTGTGTTTGTGTAGTGTGTTTGTAGGGGATGCAGTGTGTGTGTGTGTATATGTATGTGTGTATATATATATATATATATATGTATATGTATATGTATATGTATATGTATATGTATATGTATATATATATATATATATATATATATGTATATATATATATATATATATAATGCAGAGTGTTTTTGTAGTGTGTGTAGTGAATGCAGTGTATGTATACAATGCTGTGTGTGTGTGTGTAATGTGTGTTTGTGTAGTGTTTATATAATGCAGTGTGTGTAGTGTACGTAAAGTAAATGCATTGTGTTTGTGCAGTGTGTGTATACAATGCAGTGTGTGTGTGTGTGTGTAATATGTATAGTGAATGCAGTGTGTGGTGTGTGTAGAGTGTATTTGTGTAGTGTGCATTATATACACACACTACACAAACACTGCATTATATACACACACTTGGCAAACACACTGCATTATAGACACACACTTGGCAAACACTGCATTATTTATATATATATATATAATATATATATATATATATATATATATATATATATATACACACACACTGCATTCACTGTACACACACTACACAAACACACACACTGCATTCATTATATACACAGTGCTTGTGTAGTATGTTTATATAATGCAGTGTGTCTGTTTCTGTAGGTATGTGATTTGGGGGGAGGGGGTATTTTTTTTGAAATTTAATAAAATATATAATTATTTTTCTTCTTACTTGGCCAGGGAGGGGGGATATAGCATTCCCTGGTGGTCCAGTGGCCTGGAAAGTATAGCGGGGCCCGCAGCAAGCGCTTACTTATCTTTCCAGCAGCTTCCTGTGTAAATCTCGTGGCATGCGTGCCGCGCGGAGCGTTGTCATGGTAACCCGTGGCAACGCTCTGACAGCCGCGGGTCTCATGAGATTTACACAGGGAGCAGAAGGGATCTGCTGGGAAGGTAAGTAACAGCTTGCTGGGCCCCCCCGGACCGCCGGGCTTGTAATGGGCCCGGCAGTCCTGGTATGTATTATCGGCAATATCGGTATCTTTAGTGGCCCATACCAATATTGGCGAAAATACCAAATATCGGTAAAACCGATAATCGGTAGATCACTAGTTGTAGCCTACTGGTGAAGGCAAGAACACTTCACACAATTTTGCCAGAAATTGTAGCTTTTCTAGTTAATATTTTTATAATTAAAACTATTCCACCAAGCCTCCCTACCTTGAGGGCTGGTGTGGGTCTGTCATTGGGGGTCCAGTGGGGCTGCTGTAGAATCAGAGGTGGCGAGGGAGTTCTGGTCTCTTAAAGTGATCAAGGTACCTGGAATCTGTGTGCAGTGTTTTGTTATGAAAAGCTGCACTTACCAAGTTCAACACCTTGACTGCCAGAGGTGTAATTCCATCCCTGCAGCATCATGTGTCACTGGCGAATATCCATTCTGTGCAAATTTTGATCTAGTGTCTGAGCTGACTGTTAGTTAATGAATGGTTTGACTTTTCAGAGCAGGTTACCGGACCCTCAGAACCCAGTGGGGACCCAAATAAGCGGTAAACCATTCCTAGGGAACAGTTTTAGGATTACATCATTTGTACTTTAATTTTAAGTTTTCTCCCAATACTACCTGGTGATCTCTGCCTTCATACTCCAAAATGTTGTGTAAGTGAACTAAAAAGTAAACATTCTCCACTAAGTGTGCAATGCACTCTCCAGATTTGAAGTCGCATGTAACTTTTTTGGCCTGGCTAGCAGAAATTCCAAGCCCAATAAAATAGATTAGAAACCTTCTGGTATTTCTATTTACTAGGTTCCATGGTGAGGCCGAAAGTGATGCGTAGTGTCCACTATTGCCCAGCGACGAAAAAAACACTTGAAAGGAAATATACTGACCTCACAACACTGGAGGCATTCCCATCAAGTTCCATCTACCCTACAAAGGTAAGTGATATTTAGAGGCTTGCTCACTAAAGTGAAGTTCAAATGTTAAAGGGACACTATAGTCACCAGAACAAATACAGCTTAAAGTATTTGTTCTACTGTTTACAGCCTGTCCTCCTCAGATACTTGCAGTCCACACTATGCAGCACTGACATTCAGTGTCTCTGCGCTCTGCCAGAGACCCTGAACTTTTCTCATAGAGATGTATTGATTTAATGCATCTCTACGAGGAGATGCTGATTGACCAGGGTGGTGTTTGGCTCTGCCCCCAGGTTGCCTCCTTGGCTGTGATCATCAGACTTTTCCTAAGGGAAAGCATTGTGACTGTCTGAGATCATCACTCCAGCAATGGAGGCAGGTCAGGGGCAGAGCCAGCAGCAGCAGACTGGAATAAAGGTAAGATTTTACTATATTTAGGGTGGAGCAGGGGGTAGGTTGTTTTTACCACTATAGGGTCAAGAATAAATTTGTGTTCCTTTTAAAGTAAAATTAACTGAACTGGAAAAATTCTAAGTATGTTTCCTGTCCAAATTATTTGGTCTAGAATGTTCGTGAATAAGTGTGTTAGTAAATGTAATGGCAGGTTGGATGGAGGTGTGTGTGTGTGTGTGTGTGTGTGTGTGTGTGTGTGTGTGTTGACCATTTCTGCTTTCTTTATTGACGTAGGATGAAGAGAACAATCCTCTTGAAACTGAATTTGGATTGAGCACTTACAAAGATCATCAAACTGTGACCATCCAAGAAATGCCTGAGAAGGCTCCAGCAGGGCAGCTGCCTCGTTCAGTCGATATAATTGCTGATGATGATTTGGTAGACAAATGTAAACCAGGAGACAGAGTGCAAATAGTAGGCATATACCGCTGTCTTCCGTCCAAACAAGGTGGCTTTACATCTGGTACATTCAGGTGAAGTTACTGCACGAGTGGTCTTGTTTCTGCATTGTTTTCAACTACTTTCTTTACATATAAACGAGGTGTTGCTTCAAAACGTTTTCTGCCTAGGCGGTTTAACAAATGAAAAACACACAGAAAAGTAGAAAAATCTCCTGCGCGTGGCCTTTATGCCACAACTCTGGTAATAATGAAGGCTAGGAATTCACCTATTTTCGTTCTGCATGCGTTTAATGTTTACCCTAACGCTTGATTGATTTATTTATTTTTTGGTGTGTGTGTGAATTAATCTAGAAACTTTATCTAGATCGCAAATTGAGGTCTATATGTATTTTTTTTTTTTTTTGTACCATGTTGCATATTAGTCAATTAACGGAGTACTTTTAAGGATCCACCTTGTGAAGATGATTTGGAGCATTCTGATTACCAGGTGCCGTTTTTTTTTTTGTGATTGTGGTCGGTATGGCAATGTTTACACCAATTCACGAGGATAAATAAAAACAAACTATCTTTCAGAACAAGGGATTAGACAAATTCCATAACTTCACGCCGTCTTACTTAAAATGGTTGAAGGGAAAGTAGTAGGAAGGTTTCTGCATGTGACTAAATCGAGTGTAGTGTGGATATGGAATAATGGTAAATTGTAATGTCACTTGTGAAATTGCCATAATCCACTAGATGGCAGACTGCATCACCTTTTGGTTTTCTTCATTTTATATTGAATAGAGAACTTGAACTGTCAACCATTCACATTTCTATAATATTGGGTCATCATTGGAATCTACTTTCAACCTTGGTTTGATATAAAAAAGAAACTGGAAATATTTTTTTTTTTTTCTTGTAATCCAAAGATTTACTTGTCGAATGTGTCTTTTTTAAGAATCCTGCCAACTATTCTGAAAAGTCTGACTCCTTCTATTGCATTCTTACTTTAATTGTGTTTTTTTTTTTGGTTTTTTTTTTTTGTTTTTTAAATTGCGCAGGACAATCTTATTGGCCAACAACATCAAACAGATGAGCAAAGAAATTGCTCCCACATTTTCAGCTGACGATGTATCAAAGATTAAAAAATTTTGCAAAGCTCATTCTAAAGTAAGATGTTCGTGCATTTTTTTTTTTTTTTAATTTAATTTATTTTTTCTTCCCTATGCTCAAAATGCAATATGTCTATTTCTATAGGATATATTTGAACATTTAAGCAAATCATTAGCACCCAGTATTCATGGCCATGAATATATCAAAAAGGCAATTCTGTGCATGCTTCTTGGGGGTAATGAAAAAGTTCTGGACAACGGAACCCGCTTAAGAGGGGACATTAATGTCCTTCTCATAGGTAAGGGAATGGTATGTGTAAAACCTTTTGATTTGTGCAATATTGGACTTCAATTTAACTGACTGTATATTTTAGGTGATCCATCTGTAGCAAAATCTCAGCTTCTGAGATATGTATTGCACACCGCTCCTCGAGCCATCACCACCACTGGCAGGGGATCCTCTGGAGTAGGTTTAACAGCAGCAGTCACTACTGATCAAGAGACAGGTGAGTTGAGTACATCTGTGTAATAATCTCTTGCATAATTACACCCACTGTGAAAATAACTAAAATATTGTACTTTCAGTGGAAGACTAGATTGCACATTAAATGTTGGTGGAGGGTTGAGGGGTAAACAAATGCATGAATGTATATTGGGATTTTGCACAAACGTATGAGCAGATTGTTCCTAAAGGATTACTCCAAGCATGACAAGTGTTTTGAAGTGGTTATGGTGCTTGAAGTCTGTGTAGTGTTTGTTTGCATAGCACGTATTGAGATTTTTATAATGTTCCCACTGGTGTAACACATCTGGCATCAGTCAGCCCAGAACTGGAGTAAATGTCAGCTCAGAGTATGGAGTAAATGCATTCCGAACGTATTGAAAAATAGAAATTTATTAAGGTAAGAAAATAATTTTAAAATGTAAAAAAAAAAAAAGCGCAAACCCTTTTTTCAAATGTTTACTTTCTCTTGTCTCAAACTATAAAACATTGATTCTTTAAAGCTACACTGGGGGAATCTTACCTCTTATCACACCGTTAGTTCTTCTCCATTACTTCCCCCCTCTCCCCACTTCCTACATCTATATATGAATTTTTATTTATTTTTTGCTAATAATAAGCTGACCTTATTGACAAAATATCTGTAAACAATGCTTTGCTTTTGCTTGCGTTTAGGTGAAAGACGTCTGGAAGCAGGTGCGATGGTTCTAGCTGACAGGGGGATTGTTTGCATTGATGAGTTTGACAAGATGTCCGACATGGACAGAACCGCCATCCATGAAGTAATGGAGCAAGGACGAGTAACCATAGCAAAAGCTGGAATCCAAGCACGTCTGAACGCTCGGTGCAGTGTCCTGGCAGCTGCTAATCCTGTTTATGGAAGGGTATGTTTGATAATTAAAGTGGGAGCATACCATAGAGGCTCACTATCGCCCGATATCATGTGTGGTGTCCTATTGCTGTAATTATTGGGTGATTTCACTACTATTTGTTCATTCCCTGAGCCAATGATTTTAAAGTGTTAGTCTTACTCTCTAACTTAACTTTTCTTTTAGCTTGCTAAATCTTTTTCATGCATTAACTCTCTTCCCAAAATCTTTATTTTTATTCAGTATGGCCTGCTCTTTTTCTTTTTGTATATGGCTAACTTAATGTAGTAATAATTTATTAATACAACTTTTTTTTTTTCTTTTTTTTTTACCCAATGTTTCGTGTGTGTTTTTATTTTATTTTTTCCTTTCTCTAACCATACTCTGTTTCCTGTCTTATGATGTTCTTATAGAGGTACTGCTTCAGAATTTAACACAACAATTCTCCGTTAAGGTTAAACAATATTAAAATGAAAAATGTTTAGGTTTATGGCTTACTTTTAGAACTGATTAAAAGAAAAAAAAAATGTATAATTATTTGCAAAAAGGAATACTTTATTTACTTTAGCTAAATAAAGCAGTTTTAGTGTATAGATCATTCCCTTGCAATTTCACTGCTCAAATCACTGTCGTTTAGGAGTTAACCCCTTAAGGACAGAGCTTCAGAAGCTTGTCTTTCACTTAATGATAACAGCATTTTTTGCTGTTTGCGTTCAACTGCAATTAGCATTAGCAATTAGCATTTTACTAATATATCGTTTTTGTAAAGGACAGAAAGGGCTTTAATTTGATATGAGAATATATATAAAAAATAGATGCAAAAAAAATAGATGCAAAAAGGTGAATTTTTTTTTTTTTACAGTTTTTGCAATAATAATGTGTGCATAATTAGTGCAGGTTAAAGAAAGTAATTAAAAATAAATTAATTTAGTTGTTCTGATTTACAGAATATATAATGTGTCTGGGATTTTGGTTTTTTTGGTAGTTACAGGTCACAAAGCACAAGGAGTAAAATAAACTTTTAATGTGGAGCGATTTTAGAATTTGGTATAAAATGTAAGATAGTAGAGCTACAGTGAGAAAATGTGTGTGTGGTAGCTGAAACAGCCACAAACCACTTAAGTGGAAACCCCTTCTACCACTTATATAGAAATACAAATAATACATACAATAGGTGGAACACACATCTGTTGATTCTAAAAAAGAAAACAAAGCATCATAGTGTAATATGTCAAAATAGAATATAGTAAATGGCAGTAGAGCAATATTACTCACAAGCCTAGAGCCAGTATGACATATGGCTCTAATGTGCAGCGCAGTGGGACTCTTAATAGGATGTCCCCATCCTTCTTGATATTCCTTCTTGGGTAGTTCGTAGGTAGCAGTTGAAAATCGCAGTATTCCAATATACTTTTCCAATAAGGAAACTTTATTATTGATGAAAATAAGTATTGGATAAAATGGAAATAAAGCTTCCCAGTAAAAATGCAAAATATAAAAAAAAGTCTATAATAGACAAATAAAAGTTCAAGGTTCAAAGTTCACTTGGACATATACAGTCTACACCTTGAACTTTTATTTGGACAATACTGTCTATTATAGACTATTATAGACTTCTCCTTTCCTCTCGCCCCACCACTTGCCCGCTCTATCCAATGCCATCCCACCTTATCAGATCTCTCTCCCCATGCCTTGCGCCTTCCTTAACACACATCTTCAACTGCTCTCTCTTCTGGTGTTGTCCCTGCTGACCTTGAAACGTGCCACTGTAGTACCTATCCTGAAAAAACCCCATCTATTGACCCGTCCTACCCCTCTATTGTCCCATATCTCTGCTCCCTTTTTCCTCAAAGCTTCTGGAAAGACTTGTCTTTACCCGTATTTCTCACATCCTCAATTCCAACTCAATCCTTGATCCTCTCCACTCTACTTGGACTGCTCATATCAAAGTTACTAACGACCTAATCGCAGCTAAATCCAAAGGCCACTACTCCATACTAATTCTGCTTGACCTCTCTGCTACCTTTGACACTGTTGATCGTGCTCTCCTTCTTCAAACTCTTCAATCACTCTGTCCTCTTGTGGTTTTCCTCTTATCTCTCCCAACGCTCATTTAGCGTCTTCTTTTCTAATGATGCCTCCTCCCCTTGTATAATATTGTATAGCGCTACGGAATCTGTTGGCACTATATAAATGGTAATAATAGTAATACTGGATCTCCAGCTATTGCAAGCCAAGATTTTATATACCTTTTAAAATAGAACATGCATACAAATGGATAAATTCTCCAAGTCATAAATGCTTCCAGTTTAGCTACTTTTTTTTATTTAAAATGTGAAATTCTCAGTGAATTTTCAATTTAGTAAAGAACCCTGGGAGAACTGGCACTTTGAGGGCCTCACATTTCTATAAAAGTAGATATACCAGAATTCCAAAAAGGTAACATATTTGACACCCAATAGCTAATGCATGAACCAAAAACCTGCAGAAAAAATGTAATGTGAAGTGGCATTGACTCACTTCAGTATGCTATAGTGGTTATGGTACATAGACTGTTTCTCAGTTCAGAATATACTGGTACAATGTGCAGTGCTTTCACCTTAAGTAATAGACTTTTCTGCAGTCTTATACCTCGCAGTAGAAATGACTGTACTTTGAGGTACAAATTGTGCTAACTAGATTTTCGTGCAGTGCGGAAAATTCCTAATATTCTGTTTTGTAATGGCACAGTATGATCAGTATAGAACCCCGATGGAAAACATTGGTTTGCAAGACTCTCTGCTTTCAAGATTTGACTTGCTGTTTATCGTTCTGGACCAAATGGACGCAGACAACGATAGAGAAATTGCTGATCATGTTCTGCGAATGCATAGATATCGATCCCCTGGAGAGCAAGATGGATATGGTAATTATTTAAATTTTTTAGATTGTATGTGTTTCAGTAAAACATTTCTAGAAACCATTTAAAATGTGTATATAACAGAGGGAGGTTGTTTAATAAAAAAATTAAAATAAATATAAATCAGGACTTCCTGGGGTCCTTACTAATGCTAAAGGGAACCATAATTGCACATTTCTGGTGTCCCATCAGCCAGTAGGTGTTTGATGGAACATGGGGCTTAAGACTGGGATAAATGGTGCTAGCTCAGGAAGGTGAGAAGAGCAGCCTTACCACAAGTCAACAGGACAGGTGATGGAACACCTCCACAAGGTGATGGAACACCTACACATCTCACAATGCACATGGTTTGAAGGAAAATCCACCTTATCTAGTCTTAGTGAACAGCTTTAACTTGATTTGTGCTGCTATTGATGGCTGAATATCATTCACAGGATTAATGAGCAGCTTCTAGTATCTGATATTATCAATTTGTCAATAACCACTCTGGTTTGGCTTACAGCAATGCCTCTTGGCTGCAGTGTTGAGATTTTTGCCACAGATGATCCAAATGCTGGCAATGCGGCAGACCAAGAGCTGCAGATTTACGAGAAACATGATAATCTTCTCCATGGTCCCCGCAAAAGGTTTGTGCCAGAATGAATTCAACCATCAATTTATTTTTTTCGACAATCTTTATTTTTTATATTTTAGTTGTCAACAGTTGTATCAATACAACCGCATAAAAAGAAGGTATGCAACAATAGTATAGGAACAACAGGCGTAAGGGAGAACATTAGGGACATGTCATTTTTGTGTGTCGGTGGTCTATATTGCTATACCAAGTTACAGTAGGTGTCTGTCAGACCTGATTATCAGTCATATATTTGTGTGGCGTTCTGTGGGCATGTCCTCAGGAGATGGCACGTATCCCTATCGGGAGCTCATGCCACGGGTTTATTTTCCATGGAATATTTCCCTATAGTTTACCTGGGCCAGGGTGTGTAGTGTTCTGTATGTATCCTCCCTCCCGCTCCCTGTGTTTAGGTTAATAAGCAATTGTTAGTGGGTGCGGTCATAGGGTAGCCATGTCGTCTACTTTTAGCCAGTTAATATCTCTACATTTCCTGTGGGTGGGCTCCAGGTGTCAGGCAATGTGAGGACCCTGTGAGTAGTCTGGGAGGTTGGGGACGATGGCTCTCCTAGTGCCCCGCGAGCCCGTTCACCTCACCCCCCCACCCACCCGGGTCACCAAGTACCACTGTGCCCGATGTTGGTAGTGCTGTGTAGACCTGTTATTGGCGGTAAGCCCTCTTTACCTATAGTCCCGTGTGAGTCCAGTTCTCTGGGTGTCTTCCGGTCAAGCTAACTATGTGGCTGCCCACGGCAGACTTATTTGTCAGGGGGTGTAGGGTGGAGTGCTCTCCCCCTTGTCTGTGAGGTGTCGTCTGCAAAAGATCGATGCACCCCACCCAGGTCTTTACGGGGCATTATGGGACCTAAGGTGCTTGTCCCCCGGCGGTCGGTGGAATTGTAGTTTTTGTCCCCCGGGTGCAGCCACCTTTTAAACGCACGAGAATTAGACCATCAATTGACAATTATAACTATTAGACAAAATTGGAGCTGATAACAGGGGTTTACTGGCTCTACTTGGCAAAATATAGGTAAATTCACTTGAAGCATTTTGCATAGCAGATTGGTAAAGTTGGTAAACTATTTGTATGTTCTATTTACTGCATTAATTTTTTTAATTTTTTTTTTTTTGCATTCCCAAAATGTATATTGTAACTGTTTTGGATTCAACCACGTGCTACTTCTTGGGCGGGGCACCATATTGTGCAATCACATTTGTTTCAATATATCCTTGAGATGCATGTAAAACTTGGCTCAGTGGCCATTAGACTTGTGCATTTGGGTTCTTCCAAATTGAAATTTTTGCATGGCAGTGTGGAGATACAGACTTTGTCTGAACACTCAATTGTCCTTAATTTATCCAAACTACTAGCATGATGCCTGACTACTTTCAGATGATTTTTAGGTTTTTTTTGTTTTTGTTTTTTTTCTTCTAAACAGCTAAGTTTGCCATGATGGACAAATTCTGCCCAGTTATGTTAACTCTATCTCCTGTCCAATCAACAGGCTATGGAATAAACTCGCCCTCCACCTGCCCCAAATTCCTAGAGTATGCATGTCTTCAAGGAAACACAAAGTGAACTTTTATACACCATACATTCTTATGTCTTCTGGTTTCCTTCGTGAGTTCGGTTGGCAGTGGGCTTGTTGCTAGGTTCCAGAAACACAGGGCTTGAGCCCAAAGTAAAACTCAGTGATTCCTACGCTAATACAATTAAAGTGAGCGTTCAAAGTGAATTTCATATTTACAGTGGTAATAACCACATCAGTCCACTATGCTTTTAATTTTGCTACTTGGACGTTAAACTAGAAATGTACGTTTAATTCTTACTTTAATGAATAACCATGTATCAGGTGGGGATATGCCATGGCAGTTTTCCCCATCGGTGGCAGAAATGCCTCTGCCACGTGTTCTTGGACGGGCTAGCTTCCTGCCAAAAGACTAAGGGCCCTTTAAAAACTTATGTGATTTCTGAACTTTTGTACTCCATAAGGAGACACTGACCTTTGGCCTTAATTCCCAGGAACTGTTTTGGGCATATGACCATGTGCACGGTCAGTCAAAATTATGACTTCTAGGAAATTCCTGAACCGATCTGGGTGATTTTAGGATATGTTGGTCACTCAGATCGGGGCTATCAGGGGATGTAACTTTTGTGTGTGTTTCTGTGCTTGGAGATGATTGGATTAGTACAGTTCCTGATTCAATTATCTCCCGGGCACAGAGGAGGGATTATCTCATTTGTGTATGGGAGTGTCCTGGACCTGAGATCTAATGCTATTGTGTGGTTATTTTTACTGAAGTCTACTCTCAGGTGCAGGGGGAGTGCCCCTTGCATGGGGACCTGCATGCAAGACCAGTTGTGGCTGCCAATAAATGAGTTCCTGCCTGCCCTTAACATAGTCTCATCTCGTGTGTGGGGAACAGCTGTATCTGCTCTTATGATTGCTATATCACTATACTTGTCTGGGTTATAATCACTTGCTCTAAGAGCAGCCTGCTACACTCTCTCTGGAGGACGGTGACACACCAGCCAAGCTGTAATGCTGGAAGTGGGCACTACGGTGCTGATGGTGTCTGGAGTGCTTGTAAGTACTCAGAGGTACTAGGAAGCGGCGATTGGAGGAGGCACCCAGTAGGGGTGCCAGGTGGTCCGTCACACCATCTTTTTACATAATGTTCATGTCCTCTCTCTACCCATGAACATAGTTCAGCTGATGCTGTCAAGGATCTCTGTAAAAGCAGACACAAATAAGCATATACTGCTCAGCCAGATATTCAATGTCTGTGCTGTGCTTTCCGAACAAAGAGAGGAGTGCAACAAAGTTCTGTTCAAATATCCCCTTCCAACAGTCACCCCCAACCCCTGAGGAACCTGATGGCATTCTACTTCTGGGCATCAGTCCCCTTAGAAATGTCAGTCTTTGACAGAATATATCCTATTGTCCTATATTCTTTATTCCACTCTCTCCTGAACATCTATACCATATGCAACTACTAAAGCCATTCTTGATAGCTGATTTAAAAAAAGTTTGTTAAATTAAAAAATTATAAAATCTGTATTCAGTCAGTTTATATATATTTTTTTCCCCCCCTCCTTCCTCCCAACATAAGCAAATCAAAGGTTGTAAGCATGCAGTTTATTCGGAAATACATTCATGTTGCTAAGCTGATGAAGCCTGTTTTAACACATGAAGCTTCTGAACATATATCTCATGAATATGCGAAGATCCGAAGTCATGATCAAATGAATAATGATCGTGCGAGGGTATGTACTTTTGAAGCCTAATTTAACTCATGGACCTGTGTAATTGTATAAAGGGTTAGAAAACAAACATTTATCTTTATTGTGATAGGTGTTTTATAAATAATCATGACTGCATCTCTCCCAATCAACTCATAACATATTTGGCAGGTAAAACAAGACAAACTGACTAACAAAAGGTTGGAAGGTGGGGCCATAATAGATGGAAATACTGCTGAGGAAGGTTACAAAGGATGAGGATTTAAGGCGTGAGCCAATACTCTTATTTAAAGCAGTGTTTAGGGAATGACTGCAAAGGTTGGGTAGTTGAATCTGATGAAGGAGGGCATTCCATTAGAAAGTGACAATCCTGGCGTAATTTGTAGGGGAAAATCTAGGGTGCGGGTGCAAGAATGGGATAAAAACAGGTCATTGGTGGAGTGAAGAGGCTGAGCTGAAGCATATCTAATAATGAGCAAGGAAGTTTAAGCAGGGGCACAGTTATGGAGATCTTGTGTAGGCAAGCACAAGATCATTACACTGACCTCCTATCTCACTTTAGGATTTTGTTGATCTGTTCCTATAGCTAGAAAAAACTAAATGTGCAGAAAATGTCTTGTCAATATTTTGTTGGTACTAAGCACACATTATTTTCTTAGACTATGCCAGTTACTGCCAGAGCTTTGGAAACCATGATCCGTTTGGCTACTGCTCATGCAAAGGTCAGGATGAGCAAAACTGTTGACATTCAAGATGCTGAAACTGCCCTTGAGTTGGTTCAGTTTGCGTATTTTAAAAAGGTATGCATCAGCACAACAGGAAATGTGTGGAAATGGACACTGCATTATGTCTATTGATCCTTGCTCGTTTTTTTTTTTTTTTTGTCTCCAATAAATGTAATCTGTCCGAAAAGGCAACTGTTTTCAACAGTCAGTGTTCTAGTCTGTACTACTGTGTATAATTATTGACAGGAGATTCTCGTTTCGAATTTGGCAATCGGTTATGTTTGTTTAGGTTATTTGTATAACCATATGAATGTTTTTCTTCCACAATTCCTGTTTAGTAATGAAAAACTAGACTTGGAATTACTTAAAAATTCTTGGTATTCTAAAGGAAATAAAACCTTCATAGACAGATTATGCGGCCCTATTATTATTATTATTTATTATTACCATTTATATAGCGCCAACAGATTCCGTGGTGCTTCTTACCAATACTTAAACCACCTCTTACCACTTTGACTTGGCTGTCTCTCCAGCCTTTCCTGAATTGTACTCCTGATCAGGCTTCATTTACCTACAAAGGAATTTTAACTGATGCATTATTCACCTAGATAATCATATGCAATTGCCAATCAAGCTTGCTTACTGACAAAATCTTACTGTTGGCATTCATGATCATAGTCAGCATATTTCTGTTTTTGCTGCACACCCTATCATTTGTAGGATTGATACATTTTTTGGATTTTCTTTTTGTTTTTGCCAGAAGAGGTGAGACTATAATATGGCTTAAATATTTGATATAAACAAATTCTCACATGCATGGGTAAATACTTGAGCTGACCACTAAGAATATATGTAATTCTGCATGAAGGTACGCAAAATCATCTAAATTAAAGTATAAAAAAGTTTAATACAAACCCTGGGAATTTACGTTTTTGGTGGGTTTGTTTTGTTTTTTTCTTCTCTCTATGCTGTGCGTAAATTAAAGCTGTTTAATTTGTACCCGGGAGGGCAAATTTTTCTATATTCACTTATTACAAAATTGTAGTGAATTGAAAACTGAATTGCATTAACTGATGTAAAGAGGTTTTGGAAACCTTTTCAAATGTTCCTATAGTTACAGCTTTTGATGCTTTTATACCTAAATTTTGCAATTCCGTTTTCAATTGCCTACAGTTTTGTTGGAATAGAGCTGCAGAGTCAGATTAAGATTACGCAGGGACCTTGAACCTGGTGTCCTGGTCTGTGAATGAGTGTGTGTTTAAGTGGTTGATGTGTGCCTGCAAGTTCTGGTTAAGCGGTATCGGTTGTCTGCTTTTATCAGATCCACATTCTCTCTCGGTCCACTTGGATCTCTCCCTTTATCAGACCCACTTGTTTGCCTCCAGTCTCTCTTCCTCTGTTCATCCCTCTTTTCTCTCTTGTTCTCCTCTCCCACTTTTAAGTCTTGCCTTTAACCTGTGCTAACCAATGGCAAACAGGATATAGCAGTTGCCGCTCTTCCTGTCCTCCTATTAGTTCCCATGCAGTGCAGCTTCACTATGTGGAGGAGGCAAAGCTATGATGTACGATCCTTTGCCCACCCTCTCCTCACAGACCTCTCACGTAGGATTTTATTTGCTGTCATTCTGCACTAGAAAAGGTTATAATTGTAGATGATTCTCGGCAAGTTGAATTATACAAGTAATAGCTCTGTAAAATAAATATTGTGGGCTAATTGGGGAGATCTGCAGATAACCCACCTGGTCCCAGGATGCATAGCTGCATAGCTGCAGTGGAGTCCCCTGTTACATATGTGCTCCTGTCTTTGGTGGCCACCTATGCCACCTTATGGGTAATCTGGCTCTGTGGAGCTCTGGTGGTAGATTCTTTATCTAGAGGTAGTCTCTAAAAAAAAAAAATTTATTACAAAAACTGGGTAAACAGTTTGACAAAATTTGGTTCTCTTACGGCACCCAATGCCACACTGATAACCTGCACCTTACACCTTCTCAAGTGTGAATCTGTTCAAAGGTTTATAGTCTTAGTTCCTTTTGAATCTCAACCCTATCTTTGCTTTAAGAAGTTGTGTTTAACACCCAGATGCATTGCAAAGGGTGTCTGCAGAATGAAGTCTGAAACATGAGGAATGTGTCTGCTTGTTTGCACGTAGAGATCGGAATTTTGGGTGAATGGTGGATGTGATTTCTTGGAATTTTTGTGCCCAAGATGGTCCTTGAAATGTAGATGCCCCACAACAGTAAATTTTGAATGTGTTTTATGTATATACCCTTATGCACTTATGTCATGCATTTTCATTTCATTGCTTTGTTTTAGGTGTTGGAAAAGGAAAAGAAAAAGGTTATTAAAGATAAAACAGAAGACTCAAGCCAAGAAACCCCAAGTCAAGAGGGCCCACGGTAGGTACCAAGGCTGTCACAAACTGCAATGAACTAAACAAAGTAACTACAAATCGTTTCACATTTATATCTTTTTGTAGGAAAAGTTCTAGACGGGCAGGAAAAACTACAGACTCACAAGATGACTCTATGGACCCCTATGCGTTCAGTCAGGGAGATAATGAAAGTGAATGTAAGTGCTTAATTGTATTAACTCGCATGGTGTGTTAAAATGATTTTACAGTTTAAACTTCAGCTAGTATATTCTCACACCATGGTTTCAGTTTTTGTATTTTTTTTGTTCCTTTTTTGTTTTGTTTGTTCCTTTTTAAAAAAAATTTATTATATCACTTTTGAGGAAAGTCTGAATTGACAATTTTTTGCCTACGAGGAAGACCTTCGGGCGGGTGTGTGTGTGTGTGTATATATATATATATATATATATATATATATTTTTTTTTTTTTAATTTTTTTTTTTAAGCTTTGTCTTCAAGCTGCCACCTCCAAAACATGGAAGTTGCCTTAGAAGTCCTTTACAAAATATGTAAAGACATCCGATAGACATCCTAAAGTGACAGAGCTGTTTAAAATTACAATTTAAAAAAAACTAAAACTGGGGCAAATGCAAATAAGCATCTGCATGAAATTTTGGAACATAATGGAAGCAAAGACTGTAACCAGGAATGCGAGGTGTATTTAAAAATTGAAGCTCATAATATTTTGTGTGTCTATAAATGTTCTCCCTTGTTTTTGTAGTAATGCCGATTAATTTTTTTACAGCACTTTCTCAGAGTATGAGAACTCCAAGAAAGGTATCTGAAAGCCAAGGAGACGATCCACACAAGAGCTTGTTGAGCCAGACCCGGTAATGATGCATTGTAGCCAATTCATACCTTCCAGCATTTCAAATGGCCAAAGAAGGGTGGATGTGTGTGAAGGAGCAGGGTTCTTCAAGACTTTTGGATGACTTCATGACATATCAGTAGAAAGGCTTTTTGTGAAAATCTTAGATGTTACTTTCCCTTAAATTGTACCACCATTTCTTCTTGGTGGTTGGAGAACAAGAACTTATTGGGTTAACAAGAGTTTATTTTTATTTATTTTTTAGGGAAATTACCATTGTTTATATATATATATATATATATATTTTTGCTACATCAGGCTTTATTGCACTAAATAAAAGCCCACATTGTTCATTGTCTTAAATTAAGTGTCTAATAAGATTTATGGAAAATTGTATTAAAGTTTGACATTCTCGGGGAGTAAATACTGACCGGATGTTACTGTATTTTGTTTCTCCTTCTCTATAGAATAAAGGAGTTTAAAGCAGCTCTATTGAAAGCCTTTAAGAGCACACGCTCTCAGTCGGTGACCGTGACTCAGCTACTAGAACTGATCAACAAAGGGAACATTAACACATTCGAAGCTGATGAAGTTAAACAGGCGCTGGACAACATGCAAAATGACAACCAAGTAATGGTGGCTGATGACGTTGTATTCTTAATATAAATGGATTTCCATTTTTGTAAAATTTCCAATACAATATAAATATTTATGCAAAATAAACTGCTTTCTGCAAATGTCTGAAAGTATAATATAAAATCTGAACTGACATGGTATCTTTGTTTTTCATATGTATTCTAATAAATAATTTTGGTTACATTTTGTCTTTTTCTGCTGATTGATATTGCTTTGCTAAGAGGACTGTGTGGTTTTTGGGAGGGGAAGCTTGAAGTGTAGAGTTCATGTGAGTGTTTATTCGCTTGTCTGTGAATTGTGGTGAAAATTGATCTGCTAAAACAGGCTAAAATCAGGGCTAGATTTACATGGTGGGTGTCTAAAGGCATACATTTCTAAGCCTTCTCCCGACCCCAAAAATGTATTAATTGGACAGTGCAGGCTTAAGGAACTTCTTCAAAAAAATAAAGTAAAATCTGTGTGTATCCTGCTTGTAATGTTTGTTTAAATCTGTATAGTTAGTGTATGCGCATGCAGGGTTAAATATAATTTTGGGTATAGGGTACTTAAGGTTTGAGAAGGGTTAACATCATAGTTTATTACATGGGTTATTTAGTATTAAGAATAGAGAACTAATGAGACTGGTATCCCCCTACAAGGGGAATGGAAATCAGGCTCACAAGAGATACCTCAAAATTACTAACAATATGAGGAAAAAAGACAGACCATTATTTAATTAAATATAGATTATCTCCCAGGGCATCTAGTGATATTCATTTCTCCAGATCTACACTAACAGTGCTCCCCCCCCGCCCCCCTCCGGTATATACCTACTTTACAATCTATATATACTCTTTATTTGCTTTCTGTTTTGTCCTCTCTATAGATCTATAAGACAGGGATTGTTCACAACTACTCTGAGGATATACTGTTAAGCAACTTGTTACTGTGTCCTACTTTCACTGTACTTCTACGCTACATTTGTAACTTGTGGAGTTCACTAGATATACTAAGTAGCAACAGCTAGGAGTCACTCCATCATTTTTTTCTTACACATTGCACTTTTTCATATCACTTTTTTCTGTGTAGTTTGTCTTTTTCCAATAAAGTTGTTTTTACCTTTTATATTGTTAGTAATTTTGAGGTATCTCTTGTGAGCCTGATTTCCATTCCCCTTGTAGGGGGGATACCAGTCTCATTAGTTCTATATTTCTGTATTTAAGGGTTAAGCCCTATATAGCTCCTATAACCCTCTCTGGCTTACACCTTTGATAGGTTTTTCTCCCGATCTGAGTGTAGGCTTTTCTATAGTATTACGAATAACCACTTAAGAGGGAGTTAAGATTTCAGTACAGGATTATTGTGGGTTTAATCTTGGTATTGAGGTACATGAGGGGTTTGGTTTTTAAGAGGAGCTATACAAAAGTGTAAGGTAAAGGGTTTATTTTCAAGTTCAGGCTTTGAGTAATTAAAGGGTTACTACAACAACAATAACCACTTCAGTGATTTGATTTATTCATGCAGGGCCGCCACCAGAAATTTTGGGGCCCCTAACTCCGCTCAGGGTCTGGGCCCCTGGGGCCCACCTCCAAATCCTGCCCACAGGAATACACACAGACACAAAAACACACACACAAAGATACACACTTACAGACACACATACTGAAACAGACATACACGCATATAGGCATACGTACTGACACACACACATACAGACACACAGGCATACATAATGACACACATACGAACAGACATACATTCATTCATACTGGCATACATACATATATACATAATTACATAATGACTAACATTCATAGAGACACTGACATCCATGCACACATACATACAGACATACATTCATACTGACATACATGCATAGATACAGACAGACATACATTCATAATGACATACATAATGACAGGGGTCCTCAAACTTTTTAAACAAGGGGCCAGTTCACGGTTCCTCAGACACTGTTGGGGGCCGGACAATAAACAATATGAACAAATTCCTATGCACACTGCACACACATGCATAAGGACATAAATACACACACACACACACACACATACATACTGACATACAAACATATATAAACAGACATATACATACATATTGAAATACATGCAGATACACACATACATACTGACTGACATACATACATACAGACATTCTGACATACATACTGACATACACACATACATACAGACATTATGACATACATAGATACATACTAACATACACAAATACAGCAAATTTTTCTTCCCTTTTTTTCTGCAGGTGGAAGGCTGTGACTGATGGGAGTCAGCATGGCTCCTGTGGCCTGGCTTTCTTCCCTCCCGCGCGGTGTGGAGGGGAGGGAGCTGGGTGGAAGTGATGGCCACTTCCTCCAAGCAGTACTTTGTGGCTGCAATTTTTTTTAAAGGGGCCCGGTAGCGCTATTGCACGGCGCAGCGCTGACCGGGCCCCTGAAGATACAGGGCCCATCGGGTGGCCCTGAGTGCGTGGGCACCCAATAGTCCCCATGACCGTGCGGCCCCGGTGCAACTGCACCTGGCTGCTTTTCCGCCGCTACATGCGAGGGCCGGGCCCATGACAAGCGTTATGGTTGTCACCCCCTGATGGCGGTCCTGTATTCATGGTGGTAGGAGTCTCTGCAGCGTATTGAGCTGAAACACTTTACATACATTTGCAATTTTGTACTGGGGGCTAGTTACAAACCTAGCACACATGACTTAGGCAGCCCTGACCATACGCTCTTCGACAACTAAACAGGCCAATCAAATCATAGTAAAGCTTTTGATGGGACCTTGCAGTGACTGCTGTGATGTCAGACTAGGGAGTGAGCTTTGCCTGGCATTGGATTTCAGGTACATTTTGAGCTTGGTTTAGAGTTTGAAGGAGAGGGCTAAACAAAAATGCCCATTAGGGCAGACACTGCAAACTTCTGTTAGTGAGCAGAAAGGAAATTATCCTTTTCCTGTCCAGTCACACACAGTTGAGTAGCAGGGACAGCACTGAGCTTCGCACCCTTTATAACTGCCCATTGTACAGCGTTATGGAATTTGCTGGCGCTATATAAAAGTTCCTGCGGCTCTGCTGTTAAGGCTATACAACAACCACCTTTTGACCTTGACCAGAATGTGAAATATGTCAACATGGGTAATACTGATCTAATAAGAACAGCTTTCCTCAGATCACGTCACTGATTGCAATCTTGACACAACCATAAATATATCACACAACATAACAAATGTGATACAGCCAATCTAATCTTACAAAAAAATAAGTAAATTAACTAAACTTAGTGTAATACAATTAAATAAACACATGGTGTGATAGATTGCACTCACAGAAATCCAAAATGGATAGCGCTCTAAGGGTGCCTTCCGATATAGGTGGGGAGCTATAGTCCCATTTTTGGTAAGAAGTCACCACTTTACTCAGGAACCAACAAGGACTCCAAATAGTAGGTAACTTTGCCTTTATTCTAGCAATACAAGTAATAAAATAATATAAAACTTAGCTGCTGTCAATGCTGACTGGATTACAGAGCATACTGGCCAAGGATCCTGGTGTTTATCTTTCCAACCTATTAAAGTTCAAAAAGGGACATAAGAGCTGTAAACCAGTGATTAAAGGAGGTGCTTGAAGGGAAATTCTGCGCTGGCTAAAATGGCAAAGATGGAAAAAATAAACTGGAGAATATTTCCAACTTGTTTATTTTGTCCTCAATTTTGTAGCTTGACTTCTCAGTTTATCTCTGATTGCAGTTTGGTGAATGGAACCTGTGGGGTACCTGATGTACCATAGTGATGTTCTTTCATTGTTTCAGGTATCATAGGATCTGGAGATTTTAATTCAGCTGGTTTTATGTATACTGACATTTAGGTGCTAGTTAATAACTTTAATTTTGGTTAACTTTGTACATTGCTTAAAGGGATACTCCATGCACCCAGACCAGTTCTGCCCATTGGAGTGGTCTGGCTGCCAACTCCCACTACCCTTAACCCTGTAAGTGTAATTATTGCAGTTTTCATAAACTGCAATATTTACATTGCAGGGTTAAGTCCTCCTCTAGTGACTGTCATAGACACAAAAAGTGTTTTCAGCGATGTTGGACGTCCTCACGCTATGTGAGGACATCCAGCGTCGCCAAATTCCCCATGCGGGAACCTGCAGTGCCAGGAAAACGGATTTGTTTTACTGGCACTGGAGAATCCCTTTAAATGATGATTAAGTTATATGAAAAGCTCTAATACTACATTCATTACATTAAATCTAAACCAGTGTGTAAAACAAACTCATGAATTATCCACTCACAAAAAAGCATGATCTGGCATATACAGATCTATGTTGTTATCAGAGTTTAAGGAACTGACTGGTTTGAAAAGGAAACACACACTTTTGTTATACAGCATTGTATCACTTTATTTTTCTCTTTCCATTATAATCAAATGTGTTTTCCATAGCTTGTTATAAAATCCTTTGTTGCTATGGTCCGTATGGCACCGCTGACAGAAATTTGAGAAATTAAACATTCTAGTTGTAGCTTTCTTGTTCCAGTAAGTCAGTTGCTTTCCTTAGGATGAGTATTTCTGAAAATAATGCAAATAGCTTATATTAGGAACAATAACTAGAAATCGCTAAGACACTCACTTCGAGTCAAGCTAACATTTGCACCTGGGTCATGGTCAATAATATGTGCACCCGACAGTTCTTACCACCATGGTTATTTAGTAAAGTGAATTTAAGGCCAAAGCTCATCAGGAAGCATGACTGTCATAGGGACTCTTTATTTTGGCTACTTTTACCTTAAATTTGAAACTCACTTTGCTGAATAACCCTACAAATGTAAAAAGGTGTTTAAAATAAATATATATCTAAATCTTTTATTAATGTGTCTTCTTGAACTTTGTAAAACTTATTTTGTTTTTATATGCAACAGATAAATCCTGGATGGATCAATTTGTTCAAGTGCAGATTAAAGGAATTTGATTAGTTTGTCACAGCTGAAAAACATTTAGGTAGAAGTCCATCTACAATTGTTGTGA